GCCCGCGCATTGGCCGCGCCACGCCACGCCCCGCGCGCGCCGCCACCGCCCGTTGGCTGCCACACGCCACGCCCCGCGACAGTCGCGGCCARCTATTGGCCGCAGGCTCACGTCGGCACGCCCCGCCCGGGGAAAGGGGYGGTGCTTTGCGTGCACGGCCACGCCCCCTAAGGGGGAGGGGCCTGGTCGGGAGGGACCCGCCCCTTAAAGGGGACGCGGCTGCGACGSGACGGGGCGGGCTCCGGGCTTGTCCCGCGGCGGGTCCCGGCGGAGCCCGGGGCGCGGGAGGGACCCGGGAACCTGCTCCAGCGCCAGGCTCCTGCGCCGCCACAGGGCCCCAGTCTGGAGGTGGGCCCGGGCTCCCCCCAGGAGCAGTCGGGCTTGGAGAGGCCCAGCAGGGCCGGAGCCATCAGCCCAGCACCCTGCATCCTCCCCGGGGCCCCGCGGGGCCACCCRCCCCGCTRCCTCCGGAGCCCCATCCCGGGCACCGTGGGGCCACCCGCSCCGCTGCCTCCGGAGCCCCGTCCCGGGGTGCCCCGGCGCTGCTGCTCGGGAGGTGGCAGCAGCGGGAGCCGCGCGGCGGCGCCAAGGAAGCGCGGGAGGCGGGCGGGTGCTTCAGCTTGTCTTTATTGACGTAGACGTTGTGCTCTACAACCCCAGGCGCCTGTCGGAGCCAACGGCTTGTCCGGATGCACAGCGAGGGAGAGGGCGCTCGGGGAGGGGGCCCGGCTCGCAGACGGGGTGCGGGGAGCATGGGGAGTTCGGGCACGGGGGCACCCTGTCCTTGTGCCATCCCCTGCCCCGCCAARCCTGAGCGCAGCGGCCCAGGCCTAGCCCAGGTTTGGGCTCGGGGCAGGTTTCCGTCTCCAGTGTAACAGCCTCTGCATGMGCCCGAGGGGCACAAAGAGCAGCCAGCCTCAAGCTGGGGCCCCAGGGGACCCCGAGGGTGGTGTGGAGGRGCCGCCCCCCGCCGTGGGGCCGGGAGTGTGGAGAGCGAGAGCAGAGCGCCAGCCCGGGGCGGCGAGCGCGGGGACAGCAGCGGGGCCGCCCCTAGGGCTGCAGGGCACCTACCATGGAGTGTGACACGGGAACCACCCACCCTGGAGCCGTCTCCTCCCCTTCTCCCCACATCGCCCCGCGGACAGGCCAGGAAAGGCGCCCTCCCACCCGSAGGACAGGGACGGGGCCACGGGGACACGCGTCCCACGCACGTGCAGCAACCTCCTGCGCTGGCTCCAACATACATCGGGGCAGTACTCAACTACAGGGAGAGGGGTTTTCTTAAAAAAACTAAACACTTCAAGTATTTTTAGTGATTTAAGGTCTTTTCCCCCTGCTGCTGCTCTCGGTGGCGTTTAGCAACCTAAATCCACTCTACAGACAAGGAGAACGTAGCAAGCAATTGCTGGTCTAATGCAAGGGGAAGGGCGTGGAGAAGGGGGAAGGAACAGGTCGCTACTCGCGTGGGCCGTTTAGGGGACGGGCACCACGCGCATGGTGTTGGTGTAGCCAGAGCCAGGGCGCCAGCCAGTGAGGACCACGACCAAGTCGCCGCTCTTGAAGAATCCACGGGCTTTACCTGCGGAGAGAGMGCGAGGCGTCAGGCTCAGTCCCGCGGTGCCGAGTATGGGGAGCCCCACGGGCCTCCCTTTCCGCTCCGCTCCTCATAGCTCGGCTGCTGCCGCGCTGCAGGAGGCCCGTGGCAATCACGGGGCGGCTCTCTGGGGTGCCGGGACTCGGCCCTGGACTTGGGGACGCCCCAGGGGAGGTGTCACCCTACCTAGGCCTGCGCTTCAAGATGGTGATCAACACGAGCCAAGGGTCTGTCACATGAAAACACACCCTAGGGCTTCTGGTGGAAGCCAAAGGCCGTGATGACACATCCTCCTTCCCAATGGGATGCAGCGTGCCCGTGCACCAGGGCTGCCCCATGGGATGGCGATACCACSCGAGCACAGGCAGCCAGGTCCCCTCCCAACAGGAACCACCTTGACCACAGGTCCCGCAGCGGCCCCCAACCCGCTGCCTGAGGCCCCCAGGGCTCCCGCGGCCCACGAGACTCCTCCAAGCAGCCTCTGCGGGCAGGCGAGGCCGGCACAGGGCAACTCACCGACGTTCATGCCCAGGTTCACGCGGAGATCCACGTCCTCGGCCCAGGCGTCATGGGCTGGCTCTTTGCAGAGCACGGGGAAGACGCCCCGGTAGAGGTGGGCCTGGCGCGCCGTCTGCCCGCTGCGCGTCACCGCGATGATGGGCGCCCGCGGGCGGTACCGCGACACCAGGTGGGCCGACCTAGGAGCAAGAGAAGCCACAACGTGAGGTGAAGGCGCCGTGCGACGGGGCAGCACCCAACCCCAGGGCCACCTCTGCTCCCAGCCTTTCATCCCAGAGGGCTTCTCGGCCTCCCAAGGCTGCCCCTCTGCRGCTGCAGTGTTCTGCAAGAGGGAAGCTCCACCAGGAGAGCCAGAGGGAACCCGGACTGCAGCAGCAGGAAGGAGCACCCATGGTCCCTCCTCCAAGCTGGCAGGGGCAACGGCCCTGCCCTGGGGTTGGGGAGGGCAACCTGCAGCTTTTGGGGGTCTGCTGCTTCGTTAGGGGGTCTAGGTGCTGTTCGCAGCAGGCTCCGCCAGCAGCCTGCCTTGCTCCGGGCCAGGGGCTTGCTCCGTGTTAATGAGCAGCCGCTCCATGGGATGGAAAGGGCCTGCACCAGCGGCGCYACCCTGAGCTCGCCGGGAAGAGGCTTCGGAGCAGCCGCCGCAGGGAAAGTGCGYGAGGAAAAGCAGGGCTGCCCCAGCAGAATCCAGATTTAAACATSCCGATCCCGCACGAGGGGCAGCTCCCCAGGGTCGAGGATCACGTCCCGCCACGTTCAGGCTCCAGAAGCCGAGAGAGGGCACGGAGAGCAGCCCGTGCCTCTGCGGAGCTGCTCGGCCCCGGGCACAGCTCCTGCCCCGGCCTCCAGCCCCGCTCCCTGCGGCAGTGGCCACGCTCGGTCCTGGGCAGAACAGCAAGCGAATGCAGCCGAGGCGGGGATTTATAGCGGGACGCCGGGCACGGAGCGCTCCCGCTGCCTTAGCGCAGCAAGCGGCACACACCGGGTGAACCACAGCTCCTTCCGCAGGCACAGTTTGCTTTTAGGAAACAACTGCAAAACGCTGTCACATTTAAGGACCGCAAACCCGTGACATTTGCGGGAGCATCTTGCTGACACGTTCCTGGGCAGCACACTAGGGCTTTAGCAGCGTTTGCAGCCTGGTTTGCTTGCGCCTAGCGCAGCCAAAGCCGCGTCCTGCTTGGATTCAAGCAGGGAGCAGCCAGCCGGCCTGGGGCACCGCTCGCACGGGCCAGCTCTCAGCCAGGGCTCCCCACGCTGCCTCCCAGCAGACCCAGGTACTCAGAGGCTGTAACAGAATCCCCAGCTAAAAATATTCAAATATCAGAGTTCAAATCTCTTAAAAAAGGTCAAGGGTAAGACTGGAACCTTTCATGAAGAAACATTAGAAGCCCAGGGCCATCCAGCATCAGTGCTCGTACAGTCCTCCCCCATCTCTGCCGAAAGCGGCTGTCTCGAGCAAGAGGAAGCTGTGTGTTCAGATGAAAACCACACAGAGAGACCAGTTCTTCAGGCAGACCATGCCCAGCATCATATCTCTGCCGCAACGTTATTTCCTTGGTCCCGCCAAGAAACTCAGATTCCCTTCTGGAAAGCAGTTGCTGAGAAGCCTGACTGTCAGGCTGGCTGCAGCGGGGGCGCTCCGGGCCCTCTAGGTGGGAGAGCTGACGAGCAAAGCGTTGCCCTTTCCCGTTTCCTCGCCGTGGCTGGGACAGTCTCCATCCACCGAGTCTTCAGCACCGCTGGAGAGCAACGCCGAGGCCGCTGGTGACGCGGATGCCCTGCAGGCACCAGGGAGCTGGYGCAAGGCAGAGCTCCCAGCGCTTTCCTTTCTCCAGCTCAACACCCCTAGGTTAAGCTCAGCCTCTTTGCCCCTGGGCCTTGGGCAAGCAGTGCTGATACGGGGGAGCTCCAGCAAGGGACCTGGCACATTAGRCAGATCTGTAATGTGGTTGCTATCAAGACAGCTTAAAGGCCTTGTAAAAAAAGTAGTAAATTCTGCTGAACTTCTGAACTTCTTACTGTTAAACTTCACAGCGAGAAACRTTGACCTGCAACCCTTGTTTTTCCTTTTGCTCTTCTAGGCAGCTGGGCTGACAGAAACGCTGTTCTGAGCAGCAAGAGAAGGCAGAGCTTGGTGCTGATACCACGCTGGTGGGGGCACTCGGCAACGGCACAAAGCACCTGCAGATGCTCCAGACGTCTGCCCATCTTCTGAGCAACCAGCGCTGCAGCGGGGTCGAGCTGCAGTCAAAACCAGGGCTTGGCTCTTACAGCTCTAGTTTTGCCAGGAGAAACGTGTGCTGGTCTCCTACCCCCACCCTGTGACGATGCGCACGCTGGGCGCGTGGGAAGCAGCCACCTCCTACCTTCCGGACTTGGTAAGGACAATAATGGCCCCGCTGCAGCACTTGAAGGACGCTTCCACAGCGCCCACCGCGGCGGCCTCGGTGGGGTCGCAGTTCAGCGAGGTCAGGCGGCGCAGCTCCTCAAACAGCTGCCTGTGGAAGATGGCGGCCTCGGCCTCGCGAGCGATCTACAAGAGCAACGTGCGCGCGGGAGACAAGCGGGCGTCAGTGCCGGGCACGGCGCGGGGCCAGGTGCCCCTCGGGCGGGTGCTGCCCTCCGCGTTCAGAAGAGCGCCCGGTCCTGCTCAGCACGCTGCAAACGGCGACAACGTGTAGCCGGACACGGGCAGCATCGCCCCGGCAGGGCAAGCGCCCGAAGGAAGCTCTGGACGCAAGAGGTCCCTCTTCTGAAGCGGTGGCACCTCCTGAGCCACCTCGCCCCGCGTGGCCCTCGCTCAGGTCATGTCYGTGCCCAACTGCCAGGCGCTCCTGCTCTGCTCCTACCTACCTGGAGCCCTGCCCTGCTGTGCAGATGAGGCCTGTGAACGAGCTGCTTATGCAAGGCTGAGGCTGCAGCAGCGCGCCGAGCGCTGCGGCGTGTCTCTGTCTGGGGAAACTACCAGCACAAAGCAAGCGGCGGCCTCCAGAGCAGCGATCCCGCTCGCAACGGGAGTTGTGGTCGTCCTACAGAGCCTACGTCTCTACCTGTCTCTGAGCCCTACCTGCCATGCTCGGTCAGAACTATGATTGCTGCAGCTAAGCACTTAAAAGAGGCCTCCACTGCGCCTACGGCCATGGCATCGGCAGGGTCCCTGTTGTGAACCGTGAGGCGGAAAATTTCTTCGAAGAGCTGGCGATGATACATGGCAGCCTCGGCCTCRCGGGCGATCTGCAGGCCGGGTCAGGGAAGGAGAAGGAAGGAGCAGCAGGAAAAAGAAGGAAAGATAGACCAGAGTAACATGAGACCACGTTAATTTGCTTAATTGTCATAGTAACGCATGCGAGAAGGAAATTAAACATCAGGCRGCGTGAAACTCTTTGGCTCTTGGGTTGTGAACGTGCTGAATGTCGCTGGTAGCAGGGCCAYGGTGCCGCCCACGGGCTGGTGGGCACCAGGCTCCCCAGGGCAGCCCTCCTGCTGGGTCAGGCACCCTTGGGAGCACCCAAGGCACAGGCCAGCCTAGGGTCGGGCTGCGCTTCCCTGCAGCCGCTTGGGACAATCGCACGGCCCCCAYGGACCCGCTGCGGGTCCTGCCTCCCGCTCCCCACGGGGCACTGCCCACAGAGGCACRAGCCCCTCGTGCACCTCTCTCCCACGCCGCCAGGCCACACAGCACTGGCAGCAGTGCTTCGAGGGGAGCACGAGAGCAGCTCCTCTGCAACACAGGCCGGGCTCCCTCCTGCCCTCAATGGGCTTCGTTGAGCTAGAGCCAAGGAGTTCCACCCGCAGGTAGGCGCCACTTGCCTTTCAGTAGGAGAGCGTCAGACAGCAGCAAGCCTTCCTTACAGGGTGGGTGCCCTCCGTGYTTGCACACACCAAAGCTGGCAGCCCAGGGGCACAGCCACGGGCTCCCTTCATCCACCACGCGTTGGAGAGCGGGTCCACTGATCTGCTCATCCAAACTGGGGGAGTGATTCCCAGCCCCACAGGGAAGGCTTGCAGAGATGAGGAGAGCATGCAAAGGCTGATCATCTTGTCAAGAACCATCTCGTTCAGTCACTCAAGAAAGCGAGCAGCTGTTACGTGGGGCAGGAAAGCTGGTTTTTAAGCAGAGACTGAAGTGCCGGTATAGTGAAAGCTTTGTGTTTAGACCCTTTCGAAGTAAGAACTTTGCCATGCCAGTGTTAATAAGTTATTTCGTGCAATGCTGGGAATTACCCTTCTTCAAAGATATCAACTTAAGCCAAAGTAGTTAAGTGTCTTGTATCTAAATAGAACAGGACATAGGTGGCAAAGGAAGAGGAGTCTAACGCCAAGCCCAGGCCCAGTCTTCACCCACAGGAACACTGCAGGGTCAGTTTGCTACAACGTGCTTTAMGCTCGTTGTTATATCAAAAAATGGAAGGAAGAGCAAGTGTTGACCTCCACCTGCTTGCACCAAGCACAGGCTGGCAGCCAGGCAGGATCTCCTCAGCTCCCGGGCAAGCTGCAGCCAGCTCTGTCTCACGTGCAGCTCAGGTCTAAGTTCAGAGAGACCCCACAGCACATGGGTGAGTCAGGACACCAGCACCCACCGTGACAGGGGCTACAGAAGGGCACAGCAACGCCCAGATCCAGCTTGYAGAGAGTTTCATTGACAGGGAGATGGTCAGAGGGTTTCCAGGGGGTGGCATTGCGCAGAAATACCAGAGCAGATGTGGGAGAAAGGAGAATGGAGCAGAACCTTGTCCTGTCTTAGTGTGTCCAGGGCAGTTTTTTGTTTGCTTGTTTTTAAAGCATGGCCTGAGTGTGGATTTTGTGGCATTTGAAGGCAACCACTCCTGCACAGAGGAAAGAGCCTACCCAGTATTTGGAAACTTGCTACCAAACCTACTAGGGACAAGCCCCTTGTTACACAGGTGCCCCTGGCTGGAGGTGAAGCTCATTTTTAATCAGCTGCACAGAAAGTGTTTGCCAAGTGCAGCCACTGCAGGGACCCRGGCAGCTGAGCCGGCCAGGGACCTCCGCTCATGGAGGGGTTAAGTCACTCGGATGGTCTCAGTCCTGCCCAGAAATGCTCCCTGCATCTCTCCATGGAGAAGGCTCACGCAGTCCTGCTGCTGGAGCACTCCAGTAAATACATATAAGCCATATAATACATATATGGCACTGGTACAAGGCAACGCATAGAGCAGCTCTCTCCCCCACTATCCCTGCTTGGCTGCTGCAGACTGAAATATTCCTCAGTTATTTCAGGGATGGCAATACCGTCCACGTCACACTTGAGCCCCCAACGGCCATCTGCTCTAGCCACATTTTTCAGTGGGTAGTTATTCAGGACACCTATTTAGCAAGGCTCATCTCTACTGAGCTCAAGTGAATCAGCTCAGATGAAAGATAAAGTGAGTCTGGCTAGAGGGGGATGTGCTCTTGCTGCTATAGGACAGCTCCCATTCTGCTGCCCGTGCCAAGTTATACTAAAAATACCGAACAAATTTATATTTGGCCTCTGCACAGAGGCTAAAAACCCTACGTATTTGTCCAGGGTGAAAGAAGAAAGCAGGCAGAGCAGTTTCATTGACAGTTGTGCAGAAAGAAGGCAGCATGTGTGATATCCCTGAAATATCTGTGGTCTGAGCTCAGGACTAAGCACTGCTGTGCAGCTCACCTTAGTGAGGAACCTGGAGATAACTGCTCTGGAGAGTTGTTTTCCCCCCCGCCTTTAAGGATTCATTTGTTGCTTGTATTTGCCTGCCAATTTAGAATCAAAATACTCCTCTATACCCAACACGAGTATCTTCAGGGATCCTCTCCAACAAGGTAGGACCTGCCTGAGTCTAAGCATTGATGTCAAAACGGAAAGCCAGGTGTAAGGTTTGCAGTAGCAAGTTTCCCAATACTGCTAGAAAGTCAACCCTTGTGATTTAGGCAAAGTATCAGGGAAGAATCTTTTAGGCACAGCTAGTAGTCAGCCTGAAAAACAGCATCTCATGCCCAGTCACTGACCAATGTCCTATTTTTCTCTCATGTGCAAAAAAACCCTTCCAAACTGGTCAAAAAGAGGAAGATGTTCATATAATGCACTGCAAGCACACACAAACCAAATGTATTGATCTATATAACCCAAACTGCTAATGAAACTTGTGCGTTATCGCTGCTGTGATCACAGCAGGGATAACTGGGGAGAACTAACACTTCTAGATACTTGGTGTCAGGCTTTTTATGAATCAAAACACGAGCTGGSTGAACTTGAAGCAGAGCAGAGGCTTCTGGCAGTTTAGACATGTAAAAACAAGGTGCTGTCAGTAATCATGCAACAGCATCAAATGCAACAGTCCCACTAATCACACTTGTGAGCCTCCCCGCAACCCCCATACACAGGAGTCAATTTATACATTCCATTATCTGGAGATAAACTGCTTAAACTCCTCCAAGGTCAAGGAACTGGTTAAGCTGAAGCAGCTCCTTGACCTTGGAAAAGTTTAAGACACTGAATAAGCCAAAAGGAATGGCACATTTAAAGAAACTCATACCAAGGTAACTGCAAAAAAAAATGCGTCAACCTGGTATTAAAAAACAAAGAGTATGAGAAATGTGAAGTTTTAGGTCTCCCAGCACTGCAAAGCAGGCRGCAGCTCTGCCTTGTAGGCAGCACACAACGGAGGTTTCGGGGCCTCGTGACCATGCCAGGTGAAGGCAAGCCCACAGCAGGAGACTGCTGGGTGGCATCACACAGCACCAGAAACGTGCTGATCTTCAAGTGCCTGCCCAGCTGCTGGGAACAGGCCTACGGCCACAGGCACCCATGGGGCCGGGGCGGCGCCGGGCGCGGGCGCTACTCACAGCGTGCTGCATGCGCACGGCCTCCAGCGGGTAGTCGCCCTTGGCGGTCTCCCCGGACAGCATGATGCAGTCGGCTCCGTCCAGGACGGCGTTCGCCACGTCGCTGCCCTCGGCGCGGGTTGGCCGCGGCTTCTTGATCATGCTCTCCAGCATCTGGGGAAGGACGAGCCCAAAGAAATCAAGACCCCTTAGAAGGAACCAGCTACTTTTTCAAGTACTGCTGCAAGTTCTTGTACGGAAATCCTGCTACTGCTCAAATTGAACCACACGCTCCCAAGTGATGCCAGGAATACAGTATTTCAATAGCTAAAAAACAGGTTAACAAGCAAGGCCAGTACGAGCCTAGCTCATTCTCATCCAAAGCAGGTTTTCCAGTCCTTCATACAATACGTACATACCAATAAGCTCAGTACTGCTAAGAAAACAAGTACGAGCCCAAGGCACTGGAGAAGACAGAAAGCAGCATGCCTTTTTGGAGCTTACCTCTTTCTGCCCTTTCCCCAGAAGAAGGAGGAGGCTCCACAAACCAGCCACCTCTTTGACTTCTGCAAATTGCCACTCACCGTGGCCTGGAGAGCTCTCACCCCTTCCTAAGATGCTTGACTTAATCCCTCCCTACACAGAGTCTCAGGAAGAAGGAGCAGGTGCTGCTATAAATACAAAACCTCAACTGATTATTGCCTAGAGCCACTCTTCCTTATCCTGTTAGGAACAGGCATCGTGCCTGGAAGTGAGGGATTAAACCCTCAGCAGCCACCCAGGAGGCCCCACGACCTACCTGAGGAAAGTATCCTCAAACTCCTTTGGAGCTCAAGCGTCTCAATACAAGCTACCCAGCTACTGCCTTTGCTCTTTGTATCTCACCCTGCTTTGAAAGCCATCAAGGACCTGCCCTCAGCCCATACCTGTGCAGCGACAGATCCACACACCGCCAGACCCCACAAGCTTGCCCTGACACTTACACCCCAGCACTGCATTTCCATACCTGAGTGGCACAAATGATGGGTTTGCCAGCCCTGTTGCAGCGCCCAATCATCATCTTCTGGGCAAGGAAGACTTTTTCAGCAGGGATTTCAATGCCCAGGTCACCACGAGCCACCATGATGCCATCGCTGGCCTCCATGATCTCATCAAACCTGACAGCAAGAGAAAGTGCTTGTTATCCCGGGCGCTCTGCAGGGAAACCCACTGAGGCCCGATCACCTATTCTGGGCCACTGCTTCCAAACGATTCACCGCTCTAGAGCGCTGCACGTAGTTATAGCATCAGCTTCCCATGTGCTACTGGCTTCTCATGTGCTATTATGGTACCAGACAGAAGAGTTCTGTAACCCTATGGTAGAAGGGGAGAAAAAAATCCTAACAGCGTTTCCAACGCTACAAAAAAAGAATCCAGACACTCACGCACAGAACAAGTGCATGGCTGATCTGAGACATTTTAGGCTGACAATTTGTCAGACTTGATGATTTCCATGCATTAACCCACAGCCTTGATGTCATCAAGAAAAACGTGGCTGAAGGTGGAACAGCAGGTTTTTCTGCTGTGGGTTGAGGCTGCTACACTGATGGCACAGGTGGCTGTGGTCCTTGCACAAACCACTGCTCACAGTGCAGCTCCATCAACCCCATGGTCCTTGAAATTAGCTGCATTGGCACCATGCTACGAGTTTACTGGTTCTGATGAAAAAATCAGTGACCAGAAGAGCCTGCAGAGCAGCACAGAGGTCTGTGCTCCACACGGCTTCCCATGTGGAGACGGAGGGCTGCAATAGCACCCATGTGAAGCTCACCTGCGCACACCCTCGTGGTTCTCAATCTTGCTGATGATCTTGATATGCTTTCCCTTTTCCCCGAGCACCTTCCTGACAGCATGGACATCAGCAGCCTTGCGGATGAAGGAAGCAAACACCATATCTACGTTCTGCTCCACGCCAAACTTTAGGTCCTGAATGTCCTTTTCGGAGACAGCGGGCAGGTCCACGGCAGCGCCGGGCAGGTTCACTCCCTTCTTGCTGCCAAGCATGCCGCCGTTCTCGACCTCCGTGATGACATGGTCCTTGCCTGGAACAGAGGGGTTCCCACGGTCAGCGTTACGGGCACTGCCGGCTCCCACGCGGCCTCCACGGCCTTCCCACCAGAGCTGCCTGAGAACAGCCAGTGCTATCGGCCACTGTGTGTGATAAGGGCACGATACTGCTCTCTTCACAGCACTTATGCAATGCACGAGCTTGCAGCTAATTGTGGGAGCCCGAGAGACCATTCTACCTCCCCTGCTATGCCATTCTTGAAGAGAAGCATCCATTTTCTGCGAGCAGGAGGCTGGGATTCCCTGTGTGAAGGCAGGCTGGCTGCATTCCTGCACATGGGAGCACTGCGAGCACCCAAAAGCCTCTCGCCATCTCCCTGCACTGCCTACTGTCTAGTTCAAGGTAACAGCTTCAGACCAGAGCACTTTATGCACAGCTCAGAGGGAACATAGTGGAAATAATCTTGTCCCTGCACCTAGTTAAAACTAGATCTGTGTCCAACTACAAGACTCCTTGTTTAATCAATTAAATTCTGCATGAAAACTAAAAATTAGCTTGGCTGAGCAGACTTAAGTCACCAGCACAGGTATACTCCTACCACAAGGGCATCTTTGACAAAGGGGTTTAGATGGCAGCCAGCAAAACCCTGCTCAACTTCATCATGGAAATCTTCCTTCAATTGAAGTAGGAAAAGTCTTACTGCATTTCAAATGGACAACTAATTGCAGCATTAAACCTAGAAGCACAGTACGTCTTTCTGGTGTATAGGACTCTGAGCCTAATAAAAACCATCCAGGACAAGAGCTAGAAGGATGGGTGAAACGGGTGGTTGCTATACACACCTTTCTCCTTAACCAGCAGGGAAATCAGACCATCATCCACGTAGATTTTGCTGCCGACATCCACAACTTTGATGAGGTTCTTGTAGTCCAGCCACAGCACGTGCTCATCGCACTTCTCCATGTAGGCATCATCCAGGGTCACTTTGAGAGTCTCGCCCTTCTTGAGCTCCACTTCTGCTGTGCCACTCTGCGTGTCAAAACACACGTTTCAGCAAGACTAGCAGAGAAGCATCTGCTGCAGCAGCTACTCCAACACAGAGGGACAACAGACACTTATCTAGTTCCCTGCAGACACTTCTTGCTTGGGAAACAGGCCACAGACACAAACACAGTATTTAGTCTGACTTAATGAAAAAAGGAAGGAAGAAAAAGCAGCAACTTACTCCCTTGATGAGTCCAGTTCGGATTTCAGGTCCCTTTGTATCCAGTGCAATAGCCACAGGTCTGTAGGTGATTGGGTCAGAGGCAAAGCTCTCTGTAGCTTCTCGCACGTTCTTGATTGTGCCCTCATGATACTGGCAAGAAAAGATACGAGATATGGAAACTTTCAGCCTGTTTCTCCTGCACCATGCAGAGAAAGGACTCAAACACCACCCAAGCTCACAGCTCTGCTCTCAGATTCTGCTCAGTTCCAGACCCATTCTCTGCACTGCTGGCATCTCCCACCAGTCCCAAGGCTGGGCACAACCAGGCTCTGCACTCCATTAGCGAGCAGACAGGCAAGTTTGCTTTATTGAAGCGATTTGGTTTAAATCTCTCCCAGAGATAAAGGATTTACTAAGACAACGCTATCCATTTTTGTTTCAGCTCTAGAAATGAAAGGTAAATACCATCGCAGCAGGAAGTTCAGGACTCCAGCACGGAGCACGAAGCTGCAGAACCCCTTTCACGTGAGCAAGATCGTTTTGCTAATACTACCAGGTCCAGGACAGACCATTCTGTGGGAAACTCCCATCTCAATGACCTCAAATAAGCTCCAGATGATCGAGAGATCCATTTACTTTATTTGTTTAAACAACATTAGAGATAAAGGATTGCCTAACTTTCAGTTAAGGTTACAGACAGTTGAAGATAAGAAGTGCCCTTTCCTCACTCTATCAGACTGATAATGCTGGAGCAGTCTCACCTGGAGACCTCATTCCCCTGTTAGACTCACATGCCACCTTCAGTATCTCCGGAACAATAAAAATCAACACCCAAAAGGAGCAGCCAGAACAAGCTGTACTTAAGCACGTGTGAATGCTCAGGCCGGAGACACTCCAGGACTACCATTTTAGAGCAGAACTAATCTCATTTTCTCATCAGCTACACAGGCTGGGACTGCCAAGGCCTCAACTGTTCCCCAGACCTCAGCCTAAAGAGCACAGGAAGCAAGAGTGAGCAGGGCCATTAACCTTATCTGGGCCCAGGTACCTGGCGTTTGTTTGAGCGTGACACAGATAAGCGGGTGGCTCCTGCGGAGTWTGTTTCCTGTTAAGTTACGCATGCAGGCCTGGAATGCAGGCACTGAGGGACCTAAAGGGAACTCCTTCACAGGAAGAAAAAGCCTGTTGGCAGATCTTTGAACACTAATTTAAGTTGCTGACTCATGGCCTACTGAGGATGCTAGGTGGGACACCAGAACGAGGGACAGCAGCAGACAGCTGCACATCTGCAGAGGCCTCGCAGGCAAGAGGAGTGTTGCAGGGAAACCAGAAGGGAAGTGAGACCTGCTGCAGGGACACTCAAACAGGAGATTACAGCAAGACTGGACTCTGTTGTAACCTAACCTCATCCCTCTGAAAGACGCTACTACATTGCACTTCACCCCAACCAAAAGGTCCTGTTCCCTGTGCCCTGCTCCCAGCTAACAAGTAGTCCAAGCACAAGAGCAACTGAGCTGGGCAATACCCCGAGCTCCCACCTTCACACTGGCCACCAGTTGCCTGCTGAGGCAGCCAGCCCAGCAGCCGAGCCAGGATATGGCCTTTGGCTACTGTTTCCCAGAGGCAGTTAATTCACGCTGCCCTTTCCACGCTTTTAGGGGAACTGCAGCCTATGCACTGACATGACCCCAGAGGTTAGCATTAATATAGGCAGGGTTTGACGCTTGCCGTCAGCAAAGTGCCAGACCTTTTCGATTCCTTCAGTAGCCTGTGCCCTTTAAAGATCATCAAGGGTGAAAGGCCAAGCTGTGACACACCTCAAGGCTCTCGCTGCTTAATTAGCAAAGCCACCTACAGCTGTTACTAGGCTACGGCCTGACATTTTGAAAGCTGCAGGACATCCAGGGTGGCATTCCAGGCAACGCGGAACGGGATCCGCGGCTTCTCCGGTATCAGTGAGGATCTCAGCTATTTATATCAGCACGGGCTTCTCGGCCACAGGGTTGATTTCTTCTGACCTTCCTCTTCTAGGCTGGATGCACCAACTCCCTAGTATGGTGGTGCTGTCCTCATGACTGCTGGGAACATAAGGCAGGCAGCCAGGTAGCCAAGCAGACCCAGGACATGAATTATTTAAAATTCTTAACAGCCTTTTTTTTTGAGCTATGCTTACTGACTGATCAGTTTTACTGCTGGCAGGAAAACAGGCCAGCAGTGAAACAGGCAAGACAGGACAGATATTTCTGCAAAGATGCACAGCAAAACAAGGACCACAGTTTTTACCTTCCCCTGTGCACTATAAGGGCAGCTCAGCTTGCAATAGGACAAGAGAGTGAAGAATTGAAGGAATTTATGGCAAATAGCTAGAATAGAGAACATCAGTTACCTGGCTCGCAGGCAGAGGCGGACAAAGGCATGCGAGTCCACGAGGAACCAACCTGAACCGCTTTCACAGCGGCTTGGGGAGCACCCCAAGTGCTGTGCACAGTGGTGCAGGCTCAGCGCTTACAACCAGCGTGTTCTCCCTTCCCCAAGCAGGGCTAAGCGCTGCCTTCCCGCCCCGAGGCTGGCCTGAGTAAGCTGGATTTCACCCGCTATCTCCTTTCACAAGATTACAGGGCAGCTGGCGGGCAAGGCCCGGCCGGGGCAGCAGCGGCTCCGGCTCCACCCTTACCTCGTGGGTGCCGTGGGAGAAGTTGAGGCGGGCAACATTCATTCCAGATTTAATCATTTCCTTCAGCTTCTCCACYGTGCGGGAGGCTGGCCCTGCAAGGAACAAAAACAGTCTGAATATTAACTTTGTAATAATTATGAGATAACCATGGGAGCAGATTATTTCATGTGGATGAATAAGGAATAATAGATATGGGCTTGCTTAGTGCTGAACCAGCTCATCTTTATGGCAGTTAAGGCTGTTCCAACTTGCCTTCAGGTTGGCTGTTAAAACCAACCAGAGAGACTCCCCAGCGACTGGATTTGCTCCCAGCAATAACACGGGTTAGCCAGACATGGGAAACTCATATTGTTTCAACACAAATCCAGCCTTGGCAAGACATAAAAAAGCTGAAGCCTTCCCACAGTTTCCCTAAGAAGTTTCACCAACACAGGGCTTTGTGTGCAGCCTTCCCTCATGTGAAGCCACCTACCAATGGTGCAGATGATGCCGGTGTTTCGCGCAATGGTCGGCTCAGAGTCAATGTCCAAGCGACACATGTGCTCCAGGAAGGTGTCGGCCATGGCAGCGTGCAGCTGCTGGGTCTGGATGAAAGCGGTCCCTGCATCGTGGTGCTTCGACATCGTTGCTGGAATCCTGTTTCTGAAAGAGAAGAAAGCGTTGAAAAGTTTAGGAATCACAGCTACACGTTCACCTAGCAGAGATGTCAACGTACCACATGATGAATAATGGAAGCAACAAGAAGCCTGCCACTGGTAAACTACCTTATGTGCCTACTTCAATCTCCTAGACACAGGCAGACCCGTTCCTATTTTAAAGTCATCCCCCATAAATGCCACCCAAAGCTTACCTGTTTTCCCTGGAGATGTTCCCTTCATAGGTTCTCTTCATTGCCAGTCTTCCCTTAGAATTACAGGACAACAAAATTCAAGCACTTCAGTGCACAAGCAGAGATGCTGCCCCTTCTCTCCAAGCCCCCACACCACTTGTCTAGGCCACGGGGCTGGGCTCCCCTCGCAGCTGCGGCCCGTGGCAGCGTGCTGCTAGCATGACTGCGGATGCGCTGCACGCAGGCACCCTCTGCCCACAGGCACCTCATCACAAGCAAGTCCACCTAAGCCTAAAACCACCCTCTAAGCCTGGACAGATAAGCAGACTTGAGTTATTAAGTGCAACACCTTGGCAGACCATGTACAAGGCAGAAGATTTTCCTAATATCCTCAAGGTCCTTCTCCAAAGAAAAGACAGTGGGAGGAAGGCGGGGATGGGAAAAGAGCCCTAACCTCGAGCAGCAGAAAGCCATGGTGAAGTTTAAGACTGGATATTCAGTGTTTTGTTGCTTTGATACCACAGGAAACTGCATGTCCTCCCCAGCACCTCTGCCCCCACGTTCTGGTTATCAAGTAGTCCTAGCAACATTTCCAAGGCCAGAGCAGGAAACTCCTCTCCAAGCTTTAACCATAGAGCTTCCTATGGTTTTCAGCACGCTTTTCGGGGTGAATTCAGCAAGACAAAATCCTGCTGACTGGAGCTGCCTGCCTGGCAGGACCTGAGCACGCCCAGAAGGGTCCCCACTCGCAGGAGAGAGCCGGATTAAAACTCAACTCTCTGCTTGGAAGGAAGGACGCTCATTTTGCAGCTGCACTGCAGCTCCAGGGCCTTTTAAATTGTGTGCCTGAGGTCCCTAGCAATGGCAGCTGGAAGCTGCCTGATCCCCGCTACCTGCCCAGCTCCCTTCCGCAGTTGTGCTCTGCCAAAGACGGCTCTGCTTTGCCTTCGCTTTGTGGCGCGGCGCGAGCAAGCTGCTTTATATTCCAGTTACATAACCTGCAAAGCGCTGCCGCCGCTCTCAGCCAGGTGCCAGCGCCGCCTGCCTTCAAAAGCCTTCGGTGCCCAGCGGTTTAAGCCAGGCGGGTCCCTAATTCTGCTTTCAAACATTCACAGGGCGACCAGGGCAGGCTGATTCTCCCGGAGCAGCGGATCCCGACGCGGCGCAGATCCCCGGGGCCGGGAGCACGTGGCCGGTGCTCCTCCCCGCTCCTACGTGCGGCTCGGCTCGCAGCAGCCCTGACTCACTGCAGCCTCCCCGAGCGAGCAGGCGGGCCGCCGAAAACCGTAATTTGTCCTGGCAAGTGTCCTTCACCTCAGGCCTGCCAGAAGCTGCTGATTCACTGCGGCCCCTACAAGAAAGCCTGGCCACATGAAAAGCCCGACCGAGCTGCCTTATTACAGGAACGGCTGCCAGGCAGCCCCAAACACGGTGTTTTCCCTCTCTAACATGTGCTCTTTGGTCCTCCAACACCGGCGTAACAGCACCGCGCTCTCAGAGGAGCATAAAAAAGCTCGTCTGCTGGGAAATGGTCTGAGTTCAAAGAGCAACGAGCGGGTCCGTCTCCTGCCTGGAAATAGGCTGTGGAAGAAATGGGAACAGCAGCATCTTAAGATGAAAGCTGCTACTTGCAAGCTTTAAAACGCATGTAGATATATACAGACAAATACGTATACATGCACACAGAGGAGTCTTCCCCTTTTCTTCAGGGGCAGCTTCTACTTCATGGAAACGCCTCACCCACCCAAAAAGCCCGTAAAAGCCACACCGGAAGGGAGRTAAAGCTCGGTTTCGTTTCAAGTCAGAATCTCCTTTACGAGGGATTTTCCAGTGGCTCAGCGAGACCAGAGAAGCTCCCGACAGACGCCGTGACCTTGGCCRCGGTGCAGAACCCCAGCAGCGGCACCTCCCAGAGCACCCACCAGCCACACGGCTCTGCCTCTCGCTGCCTCCTCCTGCCTTGCGTTACCAGATCCACAAAGATTCCCCTGCATTCCTGCCCAAGGGCCAGCTTTAAAATATGAGAGGAATGTCTGGAGTCTCCCAAAAAAYGAGGTTTCTAACCTCAGAGGGACAAGGATTTCAGGAATACCTAAAGACACTGTGTGCTCTGTTAGCTTGGGTGGATCAAGTAAAGGGGAGGGGAACAAAATGTTTCTCTGGATGTTTTAAATGAACCCACTATCCTTCCTCAGGGAAGGAAAAGCAAATGCCTGGCTTTAATGCTAGAATTGCCCACGCTTCAGGCAGGGTATATTAAATATGCCTGGTGCTTCCTGGCATCTCAGGGCCTTGGAATATTCTAGAAAGCCAGGAGCGTTTGAGGTCAGCGCGGGCCGGTTTCAGCGGCACGGTGACTAATTCAAGGCAGCCCATCCTGTTCCGCGCGAGAGACGGCGGGACGGGGACACCCCCGCTCTGCCCGCAGTGCAGAGCCCGACACAGCAGCTCCGCTCGCTCTCTGCATGACAAGTGCTGGGAAAGGGAAAGAAAAAGCCCGGGGAGAGTCCCCAGGCACTGCGGGGCTGGCTGTGCGTTAACCAACACGGCACCAAAGGGATTTCACTTCCTTGCCCTGCGAGAGTGTCACGTTGCAGGCAGGCACGAGCAGAGCCTGAGCAACCCCTAGTTTTATCAGGTCTGCTACATGGGAGCGAGCGTTGCAGGTTTGCTACACTTGAACCATCCCATGCCTTCCCCCAGACCCAACTGTTCAAGMCCGGGGCAGCCTGTCCGAGTGCCAGGGAGCCAGAGAGCGGCCGCCACGGCGCGAGTTCATGTTACGCTCAGCACGGCCGGCGTTATGAAACTAGGGAAGCTCCCTGCCAACTCGCAGGCTTCCAAACACATCCCCAGATCCCAGGGAAATTGGCTTCAGCTGTGCCAGAAGCTGAAGTGACTCAACAAAAAGGGGAAAAAAAATATCTAAAATCTGTGGCAAATCAGGCTTTTAATAAAGTCTGTCTACCCTTCTCCCCGAAGGGRGAGAGAACGACGTGTTCTCCTTTTGGGCAGCTTTGCGCTGTTACATAACTGCAAGATGGCCACCACAGATGCAATCTCTTATCTGCAACCCTGGACGCGGCCCAGGAGGCACCGCCTGCTCCGGGGGACACAGGCTCTTCCACAGGCAGCCGCAGGCTCCCTTCTACACCTCGCCTCTGCAGGAGGCGGCTTCGCAGCCGGCGACGCGGATGCTGCTCGGCCTCTCCAAACAAATTATCTCATGGGGAAAGTCATGTGAGCTCTGCATGCGGAGGCAGCAATGGTCACATCGATACATGATTTGGCTCAGCCTCCCCCTGCCGAGAGGGCAAAGGCTTAAAAAAAATAAAGATAGACTAAYGCAGACCAAGTATTTGCACAGATTTAGCTGGAAAGATGTACTCCCAGCACAGACATTATATAGCACACATACCTACCCGCTTATGTTACGTCAAAGGAATAGACTGCAAAGCGCTGCCTTGCTACTGAGGAAGAAAAAAAGGCTTTTTTTAATATAATGAAGTTTTCTTTAAATTTGCAGGTAAGTGCAGATGGCAAGGGAGGCTGCGCTGCTGCGCTGCACGCCCTGCGGCGCTGGGGCGGCGGCGCCGGGTACTGCAGCCCCATTCCCTACGTGCCGCTCTCCACAGCGCGCTGCGGCGCCGGCCGCTCGGGGGGCTCCATCTTCCCGGGGAGGACAAGGGGATAAAGGACAAGCACGTGGCTTGCTCTGCTCCTCGGCCTTCCTCCCCACCACATTCCCCGGTGGGGGAGTTAACCGGCTAACTAACCCGCTCTGTGCGGGTCCAGCTAACATCAACGAGCTGGGGGTTAATGGATTTATTTCTTTGTGCAGACAGAGCAGAGAGCGGGCTGTGCAAGCGAGAGGCCCACTGCAGGCCCAGGGCCACCTCCTAATTTCTCCCAATGTGCTTCCCACTGCTTATCTGGTGAAATTGGAGGCTCCTGGCAGGCTTTTAAAGGCAAGGCTCTGCTTCAAGCACCTGGTTCACAGCAGAGTTTCCTGTGCTGGCTTTCTCTGATCTGGTCACAGGATGGAATAAGAGTTAGCAGCACTAGGACACACCGGGCCACGGAAGGGGAAGGGCAGAGCTGCTCCTCCATCAAGCCGAGAGGAGCCTTTTCGCAGCAAAACGTGCAAGCTACTCCATGGGASCAGTTTTAACTATTCATCAATTAATGCTTTTAATTATTAATCCAGATTTTTCTCTGGAAAGAGGGCATTAGATGCAATTAATTAATGCTTTTAACCACTAACCTGGCTTTAACTCTGCAAAGAGGATATTAGCTATAAAAATACTTTTAAGGGCACTTTTGCCTTATAAATTCCCAGTAATTGCTGGGAGCGGCGCAAATGCCCTGGAGCTTCCCTAGGATGTGACGCTTTTCTGCGCCTCGGGCCCCAAAGCAGCGGGCGGGAGCATCCCGCGGGGGCCGGGCACGCGGAGCAGGCGCCGGGC